AATTTTCATTTTTTACACAGGCACAGTTCGTATAGCTGGGGTAGTCTTTCTGTTGTTTTAGAATGTTAATGTGATGCACATTTTACTTTCTCGTAATTAACAATACTATAGGCCTTCTGTTAATCAAAGGAAGAGTACTCCCCACACCGAAGACCAGATTCTTACATCTACCTGGTTATAGTGCAATTTGGAGATTTTTTTTCCTGGAGGGTGAGATTTGGAATATTTACATTAACATAGGCAAAAAAGATGCTGCTTTATTGTGTCTGTCACCACGAAAACATAGCTGCATCTTTTGAAATATCAAATATGAATTTTCTCTAAAATATTCTGAAATAGGTTAAATCTTATATAAATATTACTTTGTGCAATATTGTTGTGTAGTTAAATGCATATTAGCAGAGTATAGAGGTCACTGTGTAAACAGATAGAAAAGTAACCATCAGCAAATACTGCAGTGATTAGTTAGAATCTGTATTATTCCTTATATATATGTATATGTATGTATTCTCTGTTAAAAAGGATAAAGACAAATAGAGAAACATTTCAATGTAAACCATTTATGAATTGGAAGTGATGTTGGTTTTCGTTATCTCTGTAAATAAGGTAATTAGAATGGTATGAAAAGTAATGTGATTATTGCAGGGGTGTTTTTAAATCTTGGGTATAAATTCTAGTTTATCAAGACTAGTTTTTAAGGGACCTGCCTTCAAGGGTGTTTTTTTGTTACTCGGGGGTGGGGTTAATCACAAAGTATGTGGGTTTGGGTTCTTTCTTGCTTTTGTTTTTCTGTCCAGAAGAATTTCCTAGAGCTTTACGAGGCTGTGCAAAATAAAATTCTTCTCAGGCAACGTCGGTTTTTTAAAATAATCATGAAGAACAAGGTTGCTAAAGCAGAAACTTTTTATTTTCCTTCCTTGTCTTCCAAGATCTGACTTCCCCATCTCCCACTTGCCATCCAGCAGATGCCACCTGTCATCTAAGCTGGTCATTGCTAATAAACAAGGAGTCTGTCTCCTGACAGCCAGCACTGTGTTTAATCACTCAGGAACCAGCGGATCTGCAAAGACCTCCAATCAAAAGCAAATCCCCACTTCCTTTAACACATTCTACCCTCGCCTCCAATATAAACACATGAAAGGAGTATACAAGTGTTTAAAATCATGTACTAATAAACTCATTGTATGTTAGAATTGTAATAGGATGGAGAGAGAAACATTTAGCTAGTGATGTATCTGGAAACTGAATGTCCTATGTGAGTGAGTATTAGATTTTAATAGCATGCTTTCAAGACTGAGCAATATAAAAGCCCAAGTTTTGAGTTTCTTACTGCTTTCAAAGCTGTATACTACTTTAGTGATACCAATGATTGCAACTTTTCTAAATCATTAAATTATTTGGTTTGGTGGAGTGAGGCATGGAGCAAACTGGCGTCTTCTGATTTGTAAAGTATTGATGGCAGTGACGTTGTAACTGAGATTTAAGCTGATCTTCCTTTTTGGTATCTTATCCGTTGTGCCAGCGCTTTGAGATTACTTGCAGAATGTGGCTATACGTTTTAGTATTTTGTGGACCAGTGGCCGCCAGCCTTTCAGACCTCACAGACCACCAGTGGCCCGCAGACCACTGCTGTGGAGCACGTGTTTTTCAATGTGCTCATGGGAAGGACCCAGCGTGTGAGTATTGCTAACGTCTTACCTAGAACGATCGTATGGTATTCATGAATAAGGATAAAAGTCTTCCCCCTGCCCCAGGAGTCATTCTATAATTATACCAACATATGGTAGGAGTAGGATTAGGATTCAAAGAAGTATTCCAAAGTCATAAAGCAATAATACTGAAAACCTACATGAGTTTCCCCTTCAACATTTTATCTCTTTAAGAAGGAATTCCTAGGCTTGCTTGTGCGTTTATTAATTTGCTTATTCAGCACTTAACGGTTTGTTTCATTGGTATTCGTTATTTTTAAAGACTTTTGAGAGGTGCCCTTTCCCCTCAGAGAGGGTTGGAATATCAGATGATTAATATTACAAGCTCTTGTGGTAGGAAAAAAGAGCTTACGTAATGCGATTCTTTAACCGTTAGGAAAAGATGTCTCTAAGAGGCATAAAGTTCACACGTGCTTACTGCCTTCCCCTCTATACATATTGTCTCGAATGAAAGCTAATTTAGGAACAAGACTCCAAAATTCAAGAAAACCCTTAGTGAATATATTCTTGATCATTAATATTAGCCCATAATATATTTTCATCTGTATTTGCCATTAAAAATTGGTGTTTACGCCTTCAGGATAATTGACTTTGTGTCTTTCTAATCTGTTTTGTCATTGCTACAGGTTTTTTAAAAAAGAACCTTTCGCTAGTACTTCTGCTAAGTTTTATTTAAAACGACAGGCTGTAGCTGTGCTTAGTGGTCATGCAGGGAGTAGAGGAAGGGTACCGGAGGGGTTCTGCTTTAGCACATGAGGAATCATCCCCGTGCTAAAGCTCGTTGCTTTAAAAGCAAGTATCTCCGTAAATATTATGGCCTTCCATTCTCTTCATACATTTTTTAGGATCCACTTGTGCATGTAACTGAGACCACTGTCTCTCAATATAGCACTTTTCAATTCTCACTAAAGAAATACTTATGTACTACTTCTATCACATGTTGTAAATTTTCATGTAATGGTGTTTTTTTGTGACTAAACTCCATTTTGATTGGCAGCTAAGACTTTTTTCTTCTTCTTTTCCTGTGGCTTTAATTTATCTAAGGTCTTTGCATATAGATGAAATGTATAATTTGCCTGGCGGACTATTTGCGTTGTGTGGCCTTAGTTTGTTTATTGACATTAACAAGTGTTTTAAAATGGTTTTTAATGAATAGTCTTAAATCGAAATTTGTGTGAATAATCTTTTAGCACAGTGCTTTTTTTGTAGCTGTCTAAGTGTGTTAACTTGTTAAGCTATTTCTTTGTAAAATAGGACAATGGAATGCATAGAGGTTTTTGTTTCCCCCCCCCCCCTGTAAAGTATTTTTTTAATAAACAAAGTCTGATTTGTCCTTTACTGGTGTTTCATGATGAAATGAATAGCATGTGTGAATTCTACCTGGAACCTGTTTTTAAAGTATTTAATCCCCTTCGTCCATGTCCTCTATTCCTTCCTGATAATTTAGAAAAGGTCACAGGTATCTGGGGAAAATCCCATCCATACTGAGATACAACTAGTTTTGTGGAAGAAAAACTATGCTTGACATTGAGGCAGTTATGTCTCCTGCTGCTTAGTTTATCTCTACTCATGAGGACAGTCTTAAGTCTTTATTCTGCTGAGGTCATTATTCTTGAAAGTGCATGCATGCAGGGTTAAAGTGGTTTATATAGTTTTCAGGTGTCATTGATGTATTAAGTGACAACACAGTGGGGTTTTTCCTCACGTGTTTTTATTTGTGTGACTTTTTTAGTTGAGGGACCTATCAGCACGGACAGCTCTGGTCAGGAAAGGACGAGAAAGGGAACTGGTGTGCGCTGAATAACTGGTGGGCCAGACAGTATGGGGTGTCTCACTCTGATCCTCAGTCTCCATCACACAGGTAGAAGCAGGCTTGCCGGGTGACACACTGTGGAGGATTCGGTGGTGGAGCAGCTCAAAGGCAGGTCCGGGCTCAGTGCCCGGCCTCAGGAAGCACATACTCAGGAAGGATGATCTACCTCCTGACCCTCCCCACGTGGCCCACCTGCCAGCTCCTCCCAAACCTGACCTGCCTGATGCGGTTCTTCACAGGCCCCCCAACGCCTTTCTCCAGGGCTAAACCAAGCAGGAGAGTTTGCTGCTAACGTCATTCATGTCTTCAATATGTAGATACACGCACACAAAGACTTCCGCTTGTCATCTATCCAGTTTTCTTTTCTAAGCTGGCCATTTGTCACTGGAACCCAGCGGAGTGTAATGTTTACTCCAGCCCAGAGGGAAAAGCTGTCGAGAAGCAAAAGCAGAAAGGAACCCCCTGCCCACGCGCGGCTTAAAGCCTGTGACGCGGTTCCGCGGCCCCGCGGGGGGCACCTCTCCCTGCTCCACCTCCTCGTCCGTGCGATGGGGACAGGCTGCGGCGCCGGCGTCCCGCTTTTAACCGTTTGTCCGCGGCGTCTGGTCCCCTGGAAGACGCCCCTTTGCTGGCGCCCGGAAACGCCGGTGGCAGCCAGGACCGCGCTCCCGGGCTTTGCGGGCGGCTCCAGGCAGCCGCTGGGCTCAGCGCCCCGGGCCCCGGCCGCAGCGGCGCCCTCCCCAGGCCGGGCCAGGCCTTCCCGACGCCCCACGCCCGCAGCCCCGGGGAAGCGGCTCAAACCCTAAGGCCCGCCTCTCCCCGCAGGCCGCCGGCCCCGGGCCCGACCCGCCGGCGGCTGGGCTCCCGCCCTCCTCCCCCTCCCACCCCCCCCCCCGGACCCCCCTCCGCCCTCACCCCCTGCCTCTTCCGGAAAGCGCCGGTGCCCAGCCTCGCCCGCACCCGCGCCCGCCCCCTCCCCGGACCCCGCGCCCCGGCGCCGATCGCGGCAGGTGCGGGCCGCGCGGGCAGCGGGGCTCGGGAGGAGGGCGCTGGGTCCCGGAGCACCGCCGGCTGCAGGGCCGCCCGAGCCGGGCCGGGGCGGGGCCTCCTCCGCTCGGACCCGGAAAGCGGAAGCCGCCGCCGCACCGGCCGGAGCCACGGCCCCGCCCGCCGCTGAGTCACCGCCGCTCCCGGCGCCGGCCCGGCCCGGCCCCCGTCCTCCCCCGGGGCTCGGCCGCTCCGGGACCCTCCGGCGGGAGGACGCGGGCGGTGCTCCCGGAGCCGCGGGCGGAGCTCCCGGAGCCGCGGGCGGAGCTCCCGGAGGCTGTGCTCCCGGAGCCGCGGGCGGAGCTCCCGGAGGCTGTGCTCCCGGAGCCGCGGGCGGTGCTCCCGGAGCCGCGGACGGAGCTCCCGGAGCCGCGGGCGGAGCTCCGGGAGGCTGTGCTCCCGGAGGCTGTGCTCCCGGAGCCGCGGGCGGTGCGCCCGGCGCGGGCGGAAGCGGCCTCCGGTCTCCATGGTAACGGCCCGGCGTCGCCGCCTCCGGGGGAAGATGCGGCCCGCGGGGCCCGCCGCGCCCCCCGCCGCCTGGCCCGGCCCGGCCCACTGAGGACGGTCCCGCCGCCCGGCCCCTGCGGGCACCGGTGAGGGGCCCCGGGGAGGGGGCACCGGGCACCGGGGAGCGGGCACCGGGGAGGGGGCACCGGACACCGGGGAGCGGGCACCGGGGAGGGGCACCGGACACCGGGGAGCGGGCACCGGGCACCGGGGAGGGGGCACCGGGGGGGTGGGCACCGGGGAGGGGGCACGGGCACCGGGGAGGGGGCACCGGGGAGGAGGCACGGGGGGGGGCGGGCACCGGACACCGGGGAGCGGGCACCGGGCACCGGGGAGGGGGCACCGGGGAGGGGGCACGGGCACCGGGGGCTGCGGTTTGTTTAAACGTTTCCTGCAGGCAGCCCGGGGCCGAGGCTCCCAGAGGCGGAGCGAGCAGTGAGCACCCGCCCGGGATGGGGATGGGGATGGGGATGGGGATGGGGATGATGGGGATGGGGATGATGGAGATGGGGACGGGGATAATAGGGATGGGGATGATGGGGATGATGGGGATGATGGGGATGGGGATGATGGGGATGATGGGGATGAGGATGGGGATGATGGAGATGGGGATGGGGATGATGGGGATGAGGATGGGGATGATGGAGATGGGGATGGGGATGATGGGGATGAGGATGGGGATAATAGGGATGGGGAGGGGGATGGGGAGGGGGAGGGGAAAGGGAATGGGGGATGGGGACGGGGTCCCGCTCCGCTGGCCTCACCGCTTCCTCCGTCTCAGGGCCGCCCGTCCCAGCGGAGCCCATGGCCTCCAGCGAGCGGGATGCCATCTCCTGGTACCAGAGGAAGGTACGGCCGGGTGTGCTTCCTGCCCCCCAACCCGCCGTCCTCCCCCCCCCTCTCCGCCCCGTCCTCCCCGCATCCGCCCCGTCCTCCCCGCATCCGCCCCGTCCTCCCCGCATCCCCCTCCGCAGGCCGGGACCAGACAGCTATTGGCTCCGGGTCTCCCAACCGGTTCCCAGTCACCCCGCTCCGGGCTCATCCATCACTCCCAGAGACGAAACTGTTATCCGCACGCCATCAGCAATATTTTTAAAACATTAATCCTCGCCTGAGGATGCTTTTCCCCATTGTGTACAGAGAATGTGTTTATTGATTTCAAGGAGAGGATAGGAGAGAGAGAGATTGAAGCATCAGTGATGAGAGAGAATCACTGATCGGCTGCCTCCTGCACGCCCCCTGCTGGGCATCCAGCATGCAACCCAGGCCTGTGCCCCAGCCCCGCGGTCAAACTGGGACCTCCTGGTTCAGGGTGGACTCTCAACCACTGAGCCACACCAGCCAGGCTCCATTGTTGTTGTTCTTTTGTTTTTGTTTTTAAGAGAGAGAATATAAGGGAATGCGGAGATAGAAATAAACACCCGAGAGAGAGAGAGAGAGAGAGAGAGAGAGAGAGAGAGAGAGAGAGAGAGAGAGAGATCCAGAGATGAACTGGTTGCCTCCACATGTGCCTCCTGAACTGAGGTAGGTGCCCCTGATTGGAAATGAACCGGAGACCCTTCAGCCCACGCTGTAATCACTGGCCCACACCGGCAAGCGTGGTTACTGCCAACTAGTTATTTTTCTTTCTTTCTTTCTTTTTGATTAAGGTATCCCGTATGTGTCCCCCTCACTCATACCCTCACCCCCCGATGCACTGCCAGCTGTCTCACTGAGCTGTCTGTCCCTTTCATTCCGCTCTAGTTTTCCTGAAGACACGGGGCCATTCTCCAGGTGTCACACATAATAAATAATTTACTAAAAGCCGGAGCAGCGCCGGCGTTCCCCGCCTCTCATGTTGGCACGTAACAGTGTATGACTGTGAGGCTTGCCTCGTTTAAAGAGCCTGCTCTCCCGTTTCAGATTGGAGCGTACGACCAGCAGATATGGGAAAAGTCCATCGAGCAGACTCAGATTAAGGTACGGCGGTCTCTGGGGCCCTGGCTTTGCTTTCCTGTGCGAGTTGTGCTTCCTTTAACAGTCTGCCCTGGGCCATCGGTGTGGCCCTCTCTCCCCTCTGAAGTCTGTTCGGCAAGCGGGATGGGAACGACAGTTGGTTTTTGGCCTCAGTCTGGGGGCGAAGAGGGGGGAAGGGAAGGAAGCGGTTGGTCTGTGATGAGTCAGAAAACAAATGTCCATGTGAAATGGGGCGATGGCTCTCACTCCGCCCGCTGTGCTTTGGGCCCGTATCGGCCGGCTATGGACGGATGTTCAGCGTTTTCCAGAGAAGCTGAGAATGTGTTTTTTATATGAAATATCCGGACTTTCTAGAACCGTGGTCGGCAAACTGCGGCTCACGAGCCACTGTGGCTCTCCGGCCCCTTGCGGGTCTGTGTTGAAGAAGTGGCGTTAGAAGAAGTTTAAGTTTAAAAAATGTGGCTCTCCAGAGAAATGTCAACCATTGTGAAACTGTTGACATTTGGCTCTGTGGACTGATGAGTTTGCCGACCACTGTTCTAGAACATGCCCCCTCCCTCGTCTCCCCTCCCCTCTTTTTCCCTTCCCTCCCGCTCCTCTTTCACGTTCTCTTCCCCTTCGAGCCAAACAAGATCCACCTGTGGCCAGAATCGCTTTCCGATTACTGGCTTTGAGGAAACTTTTCTCCGGTGCTGTAGGCACTGAGCAGATTCCCGGGGTTGTTTCATGCTTCCTAAGCCACCAGAACTGCCGTGGGGCTCAGAGTGGCAGCTCATTAATTCATAACAGGGGCGGGGGCAGGACGCACGCTACCAGCCAAAGCCAGGCTGTGGGGTCCGCGGGGCTGGCGCTGGGGGGAGGGTACAGATGGGGGCATGGCTGTCTCTGGTGATGGACGGACGTTTAACCAGCGCTCCGAGGTGCCTTCTTGTGAAGGCCCATCAGCCAGAAGGTTGTTTGAACCACATGGTGCGTGGCCAACTCCACAATGTTGTCCCGTCCTCGACTGTTTTACATTAATGGGAGACGGGGTGAGGATAAGGTGACCAGATTTTAACATTGCTAAAGCGGGACACCATTGACGGTGTGTGTGTGTGTGTGTGTATGTGTGTATTCTTGATTAAAAATTTGGTCTATATGGAGCAACAAATTTTCATAGAATGCAAAAATAGTATTGTATTATATTTTTTTAAAAATTTTGACATAACTACAATTTACAAATATAATTTAAAAAATTATATATAGTATTTTATTCTTTGGCATATTTCTCATTTGAGTGAATTTTTTTTTTTAGTAGATTGCTGTCGTTGTTTAAAAGGCCATGAAATTTTTCACAAGAATTGGTTAAATTATATTTCACACACAAAATGGCCTTCAAAGTCTCAACACTTAATTGTGATTTTTCTGATGTCCACACTCTACCATTTAGAAAAAACGCATTCAGTCGCAGCGTTAGTTCCTGGTAAGGACAGCGCGTACTCCACAATTCTAACAACTGATCAGCAATTTGAACTTTGATAGGCAGTTCTCGACGATTATTTGTTATTATTAAAGTTTAACAGTATAAAATTAACAAAAATAATATGAAACTCATATCCCCCGCGGCCGCCGAAAGCGGTACATTCCCTTCCCGTCCTCCCGCCGCTCCCCAGCGTGTCCTGCGTTCTTTCCGAACATCGGGACTTTTTTAAACGCCGCGGGATGCGGGACAAATTGTTAAAGCGGGACGTCTGGCCGCCTTAAAGCAGATGTACGTGGTGATAGGTGGGTCCCCAATGTCCCTCAAGAAGATGGCATGTGGTCATGTGACTCGCGGCCCTTCCTGTGGGAGGAGACTCCCCCGCAGAGGTGAGGCCGGGAGAGGGATGGGAGCCCGTCCCTCCTCTGGTCTCTCCTGGTCACCGAGGAGCCGGAGGGCTCGGGCTGTGGCTCCGTCCTCACACCGATCCACATTTCCCACCACCAGAACTTCTGGATTCTACTTCTGATCGCTTTTGAGATCAGACCTCCCGCAGTCCATGCCTCTGACGGCCTGGTCCGGCCGCCTCCGCCGGGCCCCGCGGCCTCGGGGCGCTCCCCGCTCCCCGGTGCGGGCGTCTGAGCAGCGGGACCAGCAGCCGCGGGCCGGGACCCGGAGCCACGGCCTGGCCGCCCGCCGGCCGGTCCAGGTAAAACTCGGCGGCTCTGCTCTGGTGCCCGGAGTGGCCTTTCCAGCCTCAGTTCCCTCCGCCTCCGCTTCCCCTCGCCCTGTCCTCACTGAAGGGGCTTGTGTGATCCTGTTAATGCTTCCACACACAGCTGACTGTTTTCCCGTCTTAAAAACTGTTCTCTGCCTTCCCAGTGTCCCTTCCATAGACTCCATTCTCAGCCTGATGGCAATCTTCCCTTCTTGACATTCCTTTCGCTTGCGTCACGCTCCGTCGTCTTCCTTAGGCTCCTCCTGATTCCCCCGCTGGCCGCACACGCCCGTGTCCATCCTGGCGAATTCCTGTCCGTCCTCCGGGTCTCAGGCTGATCCTTCCCTTTGCAGACCCTCCTCGGACTTTTTATTTATTTATTAATTTTTTTAAATTGTTGTCATTCTTATGTTCACTGTTTTGTTTTTTTAAAATATATTTTATTGATTTTTTTACAGAGAGGAAGGCAGAGAGATAGAGAGCTAGAAACATCAATGAGAGAGAGAGAGACATCGATCAGCCGCCTCCTGCACACCCTTTACTGGGGATGTGCCCGCAACCAAGGTACATGCCTTTGACCGGAATCGAACCTGGGACCCTTCAGTCCCCAGGCCGACGCTCTATCCACTGAGCCACACCGGTTTCGGCCCCTCCTCGGACTTTTAAACCCGAGTTAGAACGTGCTCTGGAGTCTGGCCTGCCGTGTCACGGCTCCTGCTCATCGTGTGCCCTCCGTCCGCGGTGACTTCCTCTCTGTGCTGCTCTCGAGCAGTTTGGTCCTTTGATGGGAAGTTCAGACACAGAGGTCGAGATGTGTGGCAGGCTTTACTGAGCTTTTATTCCCCGTTAAAGAGAGTCCATTAGGGCAGTCACTCCCCCCTCCCCCTATGCTTTTGTCCCTCTGCTTAAAAGCAGGAACTACGTCGGTCAAATGTTGCAGTTGTGTTGGGGGTATTAACTTATAAATGAAAGGCTAGCTCTAGCTGGTTTGGCTCAGTGGATAGAGCGTCTGCTTGTGGACTGAAAGGTCCTGGGTTTGATTCTGGTCCAGGGCACATGCTGGGGTTGTGGGCTTGGATATTTGTTGATTGAATGAATGAATGAATGTGTTTCTGTTGCTAAGGGAGCGTTCCATAGTTTGGTATTTATCGCTGGTTAATGCTAATGTTCATTGTATGACAGAGGTGGAAAGCCCAGAAAGGACCATTTCCTTTAAGGAGCCTGAGGACTAAGCATCTCCAGTGAGAGGGAGTCGATACAGAGAAAAAGAACACACATTTACCTTTTGCATTTAAAAGGGCTTCTTTTCTTTACTCCTGCTTCTGTTCCGTCCTAGGGCTTCAAAAACAAACCAAAAAAGATGGGTCACATAAAGGCAGACCTGATCGACGTGGACTTAATCCGAGGTGAGTTCTGAATTGGGCTGGTTTCTCGCGTGTATTATTCTCTCACTGGAGCCCGATGCACAAAGATTCGTGCAAGAATGGCCTTCCTTCCCTGGCTGCCCGCTCCGCCTTCACTCCTGACCGCAGTGCCTTTCTGCCTTTGCCTGGCCCAGAGCCACGTCCTGCCTTCCCATGATGCCCAGAGGCCCTGAGCGGCTGGGGCAGCGTGTTACGCCCGTGTCATCGCCATGGTGACGACGCAGGCCTCCCGCCCTGCCCCCGGCCACTTGGCGCCTGTGGATGCCAATTAATCCGACATCTTTGGGTTAATTTGCATACTCACTCCTGATTGGCTGGTGGGTGTCGCGCAGGTACGGTCAGTTTGCATCTTTCTCTTTTATTAGTGTAGATACGGTGCTAAAGGTTACTTTTATTTATTTATTTATTTTTTAAAATATATTTTATTGATTTTGTACAGAGAGAAAGGGAGAGAGATAGAGAGTTAGAAACATCGATGAGAGAGAGTCATCGATCAGCTGCCTCTTGCACACCCCCTACTGGGGATGTGCCCGCAACCAAGGTATATGCCCTTGACCGGAATCGAACCCGGGTCCCTTCAGTCCCCAAGCCGACGCTCTATCCATTGAGCCAAACCGGTCTCGGCTAAAGGTTACTTTTAGCTATCGTCTCTATGTGATAATGCACTTGAATTTCCCAAAGTAATCTTCTTACCTCACCATTCGGGCATTAGCGTTGCCCCCACTTTAAGTTCTGTGTGGCCACACAAATTACACGGTTTTCCACACGAGTCAAGAGGGAGCGGTGAGCTGATAAGACAAACATGCAGCCTGTATAGCATTCGGGTGAGGCTGACTCATTTTGAGCTTGTGTCCTCATGACTGAGGCAGGAGGCCGTTATATCTGAGGCATGAGTTATTACGCCAGGGGGTTCTTTTTGCCAGGCTCCGTGCTGATTTTCTCAGGTGCTCGTGTTTGCTCGCACCCGTTCATGACAGAGCGTTACAAGTGGGCGTCCCTGCACAGCGTATGCAGACGTCTGATGTCTTGTTTTATTTCACATCTAAAGGCTCGACGTTTGCCAAAGCCAAGCCGGAGATCCCGTGGACGTCGCTGACGCGCAAGGGGCTGGTGCGCGTGGTGTTCTTCCCGCTGTTCAGCAGTTGGTGGATCCAGGTGACGTCCCCGAAGATCTTCCTGTGGCTGCTGCTGCTCTACCTCATGCAAGGTGACGGGGCTGGCTAGGCCGGGCCTTTCCTTCCGCCGCCTTCGCTGTCCGACGGCACTGGCCTCCCGCGCTCACACTGACCCTTGCACCCGGTGGCTGGGAGTGGAGAGAAATGCAGGGACCCAGGGACATACTGCGCCCGGGTGCATCTTAAAATTATTTGCTCAGCCGAGACCGGTGTGGCTCAGTGGATAGAGCGTCGGCCTGCGGACTGAAAGGTCCCGGGTTCGATTCCGGTCAAGGGCATGTACCTTGGTTGCGGGCACATCCCCAGTAGGGGGTGTGCAGGAGGCAGCTGATCGATGTTTCTCTCTCATCGATGCTTCTAGCTCTCTATCCCTCTCCCTTCCTCTCTGTAAAAAAAAAAAAAAAAAAATCAATAAAATATATTAAAAAAAAATTATTTGCTCAGACAGAGCCGACACCATAGTCTAACCCTCCTCTCTCCGCACCCGCTTCACAGCCAGGCCTCTCAGCCTCTCCTCTGCCCGGCGCTGACCGCTGGGTCCCCCCGGGGGCATCCCCAATGCTCTCCTCACCCCTCGGTGTTCTCAGGCCCCATTGCTCTGACCGTGGCGGGTGCGCCGACGGTCTCACATGCGTGTCTTCAGGTCCCTCTGCTGAACGGCAGACGCGGAGACGTAGTCGGCGCCTGGAACGCAGTCACAGGGGAACTGTTGTCTGTGTTGTAAGACCCCTGACGCTGTCCATGTTGAACCTCTCCGCAGTGCTCGCACTTGTGCTGTATGTGATGATGCCCATCGTGAACGTGAGCGAGGTCCTCGGACCGCTGTGCCTTATGCTGCTCCTGGGCACCGTGCACTGCCAGATCGTGTCCACGCAGATGGCGCGGCCGGCGGGGAGCGACGGGAGCCGGAGGCGGAGGTGAGCGGCGCCTGCACTGTGCCGGCTGTGTTCTGGGAGAGGCACCGTGGGTGCCGAAAACCTTGGATCAAAGCAATAAAACTTCTTCCCCTTTGCATATTATTTTTTGGCTAAAAAGGAAAAGAATGCTTTGCTTTTCGCCTTTCCCCCTGTTGCTTACAAAGCATTGTCATGAATTTTTAATCGCAGGCAGGGCTTTGTCATCCAGTACAGCTGCTTAAAAGGAAATAAATTCCTATACTATTTCTATATTATTCCGTATTAAAATATATCAGATAATGACTTTGAAAAAGCATTCTTCTGCAGAATTCAGTCTTAACCAAAATCTGGTGGAAATTCACTATGAACAAGGAACTTAATGCAATTGGGTTACTGCTACCAAACATATTTCACCTTGTCTTATTGTCTCAATACGCACAATAAGAGTGCTCTAAACCTCTGATGAAGATTGATTGTGCTTTTCTCCACGCTGACTGCATGTCGTGATTGGCTGGGGGCTCTGTGCGGCTCTGAGATCGAAAGGTCTCTGAGGCACATGCGCTGTTATTTTCCTCAGAGTACCTGCAGGTTTTTGTTCCCCTAAGCAGGTACCAAATAAGATTATTTCCACTTAGTGTAATGAATTTCAACCTATTTATTATTTTTTAGTATTATCTTCTTCTTCTGTTTTTGAGTATTATTTTTGAAGTATTTTCCCCCCCAAAAGAAGACTCCTCGAGAATTCAGGTCGGTTGCGGGGGGAGCGGACGCTGTGCTGTTTCTCGGGGTATCTATAGGACGCGTCCTCTAACTCCGAGGAGAGCAGTGCTAAGTGACCAGTGTGTTATTCTGGGCTCTCGGGCCAGACGTGCCACATGGGTAGTCTCCAGCATCCGAGTCCACAGGCATCGTGCCTTCTAGGGGTGCCCGGGAGGGCTGTGTCCCACAGGTGAGAGCTGTTCTGCAGTGTTTTGCTTTTTTAATATATATTTTATTGGTTTTCTACAGAGAGGAAGGGAGAGGCACAGAGAGCTAGAAACATCGATAAGAGAGAAACATCCATCAGCTGCCTCCTGTGCACCCCCCACTGGGGATGTGCCCACAACCAAGGCACATGCCCTTGATGGAATCGAACCCGGGATCCTTCAGTCCGAGGGCCGACACTCCATCCACTGAGCCACACCGGTCAGGGCTCCTGCAGTGTCTGCATAGCAGTCCTGCTTCTCTAAAGATCGGGCAGGATGATAGCACAGGCCTTTGTCTGGGGCCTCTCTGACGCCCGAAATATCGCTGCTAACCGATTCTCATTATAGAAACTCGTTCTCCTTCATTTCAGGGGGCAGCGTGAGCATCGTTTTTCTGGAGGGGCTGTTCGGGCAGAAACAGAGAAGGTCTTGACTAATCTGAGGTGTTGGAATGTTTGTGTGTTTTTTTATAGAAAATTACGAAAAACTGTGAATGGTGAGGGGAGCCGAGAAAATGGAAATCCCTCCTCTGACCAAGCCAGGGGGGTGGAGCCCGTGGCGCCCGGACCGCCCGCCCGCGGCCTTTGGGGGACTCTCTTCGGCAGCAGGTGAGACGCCCTCACGCTGGGACGCCCACGTGGCGCCGGCTCCACACGCGTGTCTGGTGGCGCGGGCTCCGAGGGCCCCCTGTGGGCACATGACCGTCCGTGTGGTTTCCGAGGCTCTGGCATGACTTCACCGCCTCTCCCCTCCCCTGCAAGCCGGTGACCCGCCATACACGTTCCCTCCTGCTGGGCCTCTGCTGACGGCCACACCGCACGGTCACGGACACACAGCCGTGCCCAACGGGCACCTGTCTTAAGCCAAGCGCAGCATCCGCAGGAGAGAAGGATCTGGAAAAGAGGAGGTGGTTCCCGCGTCTGAGCTGCCGCCGCCTGGGGGCGGGGGGGCTGCGGACGGAGGGGAGGGGTCCAGCATCCTCCCTCCGGAGCCCGCGGCTGGTCCTCACGCGTAGGGCTCAGAGCGAGGCTGGCTGGCTGCACAGCTGGGAGGGGGTGTGATTACTGTCTTTCTCCCCGTCGTCCCCGAGCCAGAAGTCCAAACATGAGGACGTCGGAATTTTCTAGCTTTTCAGAGTCAAGTCCCGAATTTACCGGGTTGCATGGACGATGCTCATTGCAGGATGCTCGTCAGTTATCTTTTTTCTCTTTTGAAAAAGCAGGACTAAGACAGTGAAACTGATATGTAACAAGGAGACGGAGACCAGCAGGGACCCCGGCTACCTGCATCCCATCATCAAGAAGCGGCCGGCGCGGCCGGACGCCAGGACGTGGGCGGCGGTGGAGAAAGCCCGGCTCTCGGACGGCGAGAGGGGCCGCAGGGTAAGGCCGGGGAGTGGGCCCCACATGGGAGAGGCTTCCGCTCCGGCCCCGCGGGAGGGCGGTCCGCCCATGGGCTTGTCCACTGCGCTTCGCAGCGAGCGACCGCAGAGGCCCGGGCGTGAGCCAGGCCTCCCGGCTCTGGGGGCTCTGGGCCGGGGCTGTGCCTGCACCTGCCGGGCCGGCGGGCGGGGCGGGCGGTGCCATCGCGGCTGCGGGTGGGGGCGGTCGGCGTCCAGAGGGGCAGGGCCTGTGGGGTGGGAACCCGGGCCCTAGGCTCAGGGCGAGGCGTTCTGCTCCGTGTCCGAGACGGACTGCGCTCTCTCTGGAAGACGTGTCCTCCCTCGGGGGGCGGTGACGTCTTTGAGCGGTTCCCGCAGCCGGCACCGCTCCAGGCTCTGCGCGCCACTTCCCGGCAGGTCTGGCACGGCGGATCCGAGCCCCGGGAACATGAGCCGGCCTGAGCTGGCCGGGCCGGGGTCAGGCTCCTCCCCGCCCCAGCCTCCTGACTTGGGCCGTTCAGTGTCAAGTTCAGTTCCAAGTTGAGTGTCAAGTTCAGCACTGTTCTGGGCGCGGCCCAGCGCTGCGGGGCTGCTGGGTGGCAGTGCCTGGCACCGGGCGTGTGCCCGCGGGCCGAGCTGGGAATGCTGTCCGCAGGGGGCCGGCCGGCGTGGGGGCTGCTGGGTGGCGGTGCCTGGCACCGGGCGTGTGCCCGCGGGCCGAGCTGGGACGCTGTCCGCAGGGGGCCGGCCGGGGTGGGGGCTGCTGGGTGGCGGTGCCTGGCACCGGGTCCTGGCTTTGCCGGGCGTGTGCCCGCGGGCCGAGCTGGGACGCTGTCCGCAGGGGGCTGGCCGGGGTGGGGGCTGCTGGGTGGCGGTGCCTGGCACCGGGTCCTGGCTCTGCCGGGCGTGTGCCCGCGGGCCGAGCTGGGACGCTGTCCGCAGGGGGCCGGCCGGCGTGGGGGCTGCTGGGTGGCAGCGATGACTGGCACCGGGTCCTGGCTCTGCCGGGCGTGTGCCCGCGGGCCGAGCTGGGAACGCTGTCCGCAGGGGGCCGGCCGGCGTGGGGGCTGCTGGGTGGCAGTGCCTGGCACCGGGCGTGTGCCCGCGGGCCGAGCTGGGACGCTGTCCGCAGGGGGCCGGCCGGGGTGGGGGCTGCTGGGTGGCAGTGCCTGGCACCGGGCGTGTGCCCGCGGGCCGAGCTGGGACGCTGTCCGCAGGGGGCCGGCCGGCGTGGGGGCTGCTGGGTGGCGGTGCCTGGCACCGGGCGTGTGCCCGCGGGCCGAGCTGGGACGCTGTCCGCAGGGGGCCGGCCTGCGCGCGGGGAGCGTGGGGCGCGGGTCGGAGGAGCCGTCCAGCGAGGAGGACGCGGAGGCGCGGACGCAGATGATGCTGCTGCGGCGCAGCGTGGAGGGCGCCTCCAGCGACAACGGCTGCGAGCGGGACCGGCGGGCGCTGCTCCCGCGGCGCCTCAGCTCGCAGGTACGCCCGTCCGCACGGGGGCGGGAGCCCGGCCAGCGCACGGCCGCGCGGCCTGACTCCCCTCCTTCCCGCCGGCCCGGCAGGTGACGAAGACCACCACCAAGTGGTGCCACTTCATGCGGGACTCCGACAGCCTGGTGGAGTCCGAGCTCGAGTCCACCGCCTTCAGCCAGGTGACGGCCGCGGCCGGGCGTGTCCGCGGGCGGCTGTCCCAGAGCCGCGTCTGTGCCTCCTGCCCTCCCGCCCCCACCCGTCCGCCCACAGCTTCTCACCCGCCCCCACCCGTCCGCCCACCAGCTTCTCACCCGCCCCCACCCGTCCACCCACAGCTTCTCACCCGCCCCCACCCGTCCACCCACCAGCTTCTCACCCGCCCCCACCCGTCCGCCCACAGCTTCTCACCCGCCCCACCCGTCCACCCCACAGCTTCTCACCCGCCCCCACCCGTCCACCCACCAGCTTCTCACCCGCCCCACCCGTCCACCCCACAGCTTCTCACCCGCCCCCACCCGTCCGCCCACCAGCTTCTCACCCGCCCCCACCCGTCCGCCCACCAGCTTCTCACCCGCCCCCAGCCGTCCGCCCACAGCTTCTCACCCGCCCCCAGCCGTCCGCCCACAGCTTCTCACCCGCCCCCACTCGCCCACCCACCAGCTTCTCACCCGCCCCCACCCCGTCCACCCACCAGCTTCTCACCCGCCCCCACCCGTCCGCCCACAGCTTCTCACCCACCCCCACCCGTCCCCCCACCAGCTTCTCACCCAGAGAGAGTGAACTCTTCACTCTGAACGGATCTTCTTGTTTATGTTCTCACTGTTTTGTTTCCAGAGGAGATTGATGGGGCTAGGCTAGTGAGTGAGATTATGCAGGTTTCAGTGTGCGTGTCTGACATGTGATGTGTGTACGCGCGGTGGGCTCACCACCCCCGTCACATCGTCTTCCGTCGCCGTGTATTTGGCCCCTTTACCCTGGAATGACCACCCCGTTTTGATCTGATCTTATACTATCACTGGAGGCCCAGTGCACGAAATTTGTGCAACGGGGAGGGGTCTCCCTCAGCCCAGCCTGCACTCTCTCTAATCTGGGACCCTTCTAGGGATATCTGACTGCAGTCGGACATCCCTCTTACAATCAAGGACTGCTGGCTCCCAACTGCTCACCTGCCTGCCTTCTTGATGGTCCCTAACCCCATCTGCCTGCCAGCCTGATCACCCCCTAACCACTCCCCTGCCAGCCTGATAGATGTCTAACGGCTCCCCTGCCAGCCTATTTGCCCCCAACTTCCCTCCTCTGCCGGCCTGGTCACCCCTAACTGCCCTCCCCTGCTAGCCTGATTGCCCACACCTGCCCTCCCTTGCAGGCCTGGTTCCTCCCAACTGCCCTCCCCTGCTGGCCATCTTGTGTCCACATGGGGGCAGCCTCCTGGGTGTTGTTGTGAGGGTCAGTCTGCACGTTACTCTTACCAGCTAGGGCAGGTGAAGCTCAGGGAGTGAGAAGCTTGCTCAGTCTGCACCTGCCAAGGGGAGTGTGAATCGGATGAGGACGGGCTGTTGGGAAAGGCCCCCGAGGGGTGGGAGCGGGCCGGGGGCCGCCTCGCGAAGGCTGGGGCGTGCAGTGCGTGTGTCCCCGCGACCTCAGACCCCTGACGGCTCGAACGTGAGAGGCCTCGCTCTGCTTTCCCCCAGGGCTCCCGGGCGGGCGGGAGCCGCGGCTCCTGCAGCCTCCGCGGGTCGCGCAGGGACTCGGAGAGCACCCGCCACGACTCGGAGACGGAGGACATGCTGTGGGACGACCTGCTGCACGGCCCCGAGTGCCGGTCGTCCGCCACCAGCGACAGCGAGGGCCCGGCGGCCGGCCCGCAGGCGGGGCCCAGGCGCGGCCCCCGGGAGGACGTGTTCCAGCAGGTGCTCCCGCCGCGGGCGTCTGACGGGCCGCCCGGGCGGCGCGGGGCTCTCCTCGTCCCCAATCAATCGATCAATCGGAGAGACGGCCGTTTCCCCCGCAGAACCACCTGTTCTGGCTCCAGAACTCCAGCCCCGCCTCGGACCGCGTCAGCGCCATCGTCTGGGAGGGGAACGAGTGCAAGAAGGCGGACATGTCGGTGCTGGAGATCAGCGGCATCATCATGAGCAGGGTGAGCGCGCCCGCCCGGCGCCCGGCAGCCGCTCCGCAGAGCTGTCCGGCCATGGACCCAGATGCGTGTGTTTCTGAGACACAGATGCGTGTGTGTTTTTTTGTAATATATATTTTTTTGATTTTTTAGAGAAAAAGGGGAGGGATAGAGAGTTAGAAACATGGATGAGAGAGAAATATCGATCAGCTGCCTCCTGCACACCCCCCAACGGGGATGTGCCCGCAACCACGGTCCACGCCCCTTGACGGGAATCGAACCCGGGACCTCTCAGTCCGCAGGCCGGCGCTCTATCCACTGAGCCACACCGGTTCCGGCGGGACGCGTGTGTCTTTGATTCCGGAGTCCGCCTCCAGGCGGCAGCGTCTGGCTCAGGCACATTCTGCCCCCTCCTCTCTGCGCCTGGCTCCCTCAGGCCCAAAGCCAGAGTCGGGCCGGCTGGCGCTCGCCGTCCGCTTCCCTTAGCCGCCAGGCTCGGCGCTGCCCCGGCTCCCGGCGGGGCTCCCGGCTCTGACGCGGCCCCCCCCCCAGGTGAACGCGCACCCGCAGGGCCTGGGCTACCAGATGCTGGGCGCCGCGGTGACGGCCGGCCTGGCCCTCTCCCCCTTCCTGCACCGCCTGGGCCGCGCCAAGAGCCTGGAGCAGCTGGCGGCCGTGTCGGCCGAGGAGGCGCTGACGCTGTTCTGCGGGGCCCCGCCCGTGCCCCCCGCGCTCCTGCTGGCCCTCATCAGCTTCGTGGAGCGGCTGTGCCTCACCTGGATGTTCTTCTTCATGATGTGCGTGGCCGAGCGGACCTACAAGCAGGTGGGTGCGCGGGCCCTCCGCGTCCACCCGTCCGTCCGTCCGCCCGCCCGCCCGCCCGCCCGCCCGTCCCCCGTGTGTCTTCCCACAGGCTAGCGCCGGGCTCTGACCCGCGAGTGTCCCGTCCGGTGCTGGTGCTTCACTGGCTCCTGCGTCTGTCACCCTGCTGAGCCCGGGTGTGCGTGTGAGTGTGAGTGTGTGTGTGTGTGAGTGTGTGTGTGTGAGTGTGAGTGTGTGTGAGTGTGAGTGTGTGTGTGTGTGTGTGAGAGTGTGTGTGTGTGAGTGTGAGTGTGTGTGTGAGAGTGTGTGTGTGTGTGTGTGAGTGTGAGTGTGAGTGTGTGTGTGAGTGTGTGTGTGTGAGTGTGCGTGTGAGTGTGTGTGTGTGTGAGTGTGAGAGTGTGTGTGAGTGTGTGTGTGTGCGCGTGTGTGAGTGTGTGTGTGTGTGTGCGTGTGTGTGAGTGTGAGTGTGTGTGTGAGTGTGTGTGTGTGTCTGTGTGTGTGTGTCTGTGTGTGTGTCTCTGTGTGTGTGTGTGTGTCTGTGTGTGTGTGAGTGTGTGAGTGTGTGTCTGTGTGTCTCTCTGTGTGTGTGTATCTCCGTGTGTGTGTGTGTCTGTGTGTGTGTGTCTGTGTGTGTGTGTGTATCTCCGTGTGTGTGTGTGTGTGTCTGTGTGTGTGTGTCTCTGTGTGTGTGTCTGTGTTTGTGTGAGTGTGTGTGTCTGTGTGTGTCTCTCTGTGTGTGTGTGTCTCCGTGTGTGTGTGTGTGTCTGTGTGTGTGTGTGTGTCTGTGTGTGTGTGTGTGTGTCTCTGTGTGTGTGTGTCTCCGTGTGTGTGTGTGTGTGTCTGTGTGTCTCTGTGTGTGTGTGTGGGGGGGGGTACATGGCTTCGCCCGGGAGCAGGTCCTGCAGACTGCCCAGCGCTGCGTCCCCCTGTGCCTTGGCTGGCGTCACCCGGGCACACGGAGCCGTCCTCACAGCAGAGGGTTCTGGGGGGAGGGCCGAGTGGGAGTGAGATGATTTGATGGAGTCGGGGTTGAGGACTTGTTGTATCGATGGCAGAAGCCACACACAGGGTTTGAGTGGCCTGTGGTGGGAGGCGGCCGCACTCGGCAGACACTCGGTGGAGCGGGCTCGGAGGGGGTCGGAGGCCTCGGGAGAAAGGCTCCCACGCCCTGACCGCCCCTGCGCCCCCAGAGATTCCTGTTTGCGAAGCTCTTCAGCCACATCACGTCCGCCCGGAAAGCTCGCAAATACGAAATCCCTCACTTCCGGCTGAAGAAGGTGGAGAACATCAAGATCTGGCTGTCGCTGCGCTCCTTCCTGAAGGCAAGCCTCCCCCGGGGGCGGCGGGGCCGGGGGATGGAGGCCGGGCGGGCGGACGGGCGGGCGGACGGGCGGGCGGACGGGCGGGCGGACGGGCAGACGGACAGGCGGGCGGACATGCGGGCGGACAGCCGGGCGGCCGGGCGGACATGCGGGCGGACAGCCGGGCGGCCGGGCTGGGACAGGTGGGCGGGCGGACGGGCGGGCGGACATGCGGGCGGACAGGCGGGCGGGCGGACATGCGGGCAGACAGCCGGGCGGCCGGGCCGGGACAGGTGGGCGGGCGGACGGGCGGGCGGACAGGTGGGCGGACGGGCGGGCGGACGGACGGGCAGATGGACAGGTGGGCGGGCGGACGGGCGGGCGGACAGGCGGGCGGACAGCCGGGCGGCCGGGCCGGGACAGCGCGGGCTGCAGCGGGGCGGGTGTGAGGGGCCGGGCTGGGAGATCTCACCGGGTTGGGGCTGGCGGGGGCCCTCAGGCCGGGCAGGTCAGCGAGGGGCGGGAAGGAAAGGGAAGTGTGAGCCCCGGGGCGGAGGGGCCGTCCCAGCGACGCTGTCCGCTCACGCCCTGCGAGGGAGCAGCCGGTCCGTCTCAGCCACAGCGGGAGGCGCTGCAGCCCGGGGTCAGGGCGCCTCACAAACGCCCGTTCTGACGCTGATGCCGAGAGGCCAAGGAGAGGGGAAGCGAGACAAGACGCACCGGACGGACGCAGCGAAGTTCGCGCTGCAGCCGCTGGTGACCCAGCATCGGCCCTCCCCCCGCAGAGGCGCGGCCCGCAGCGCTCGGTGGACGTGGTGGTGTCCTCCGTCTTCCTCCTCACGCTGTCCATCGCCTTCATTTGCTGTGCCCAGGTGAGCTCCCCGCGCTCTGGGCGCTTCCCTCGTTAGAGAGAGAGAGAGTGTGTGTGTGTGTGTGTACATATACACATATACATACACATACACATACACATATACATATACATACACATATACATACACATATACATATACATACACATACACATATACATACACACATATACATATACATACACACACACACACACACACACACACACACACTTAAATATATGTATATTAACATGTTTTAGTCGGCTGGTTTCCAGAGAGAGAAACATGGATTTGCTGTCCCGCTCCTTTCTGTCTTTGGTTGACTCCTGTTCGCGCCCCGGCCGGCATCAGCCCGCAGTCCCTGGTGTGGGCACGATGCTCTGACCAGCTGCCGGGGCCTCAGTGCATAGGCTTCTCACGTGTCTCAGTTTCCTTTGCTCTCATGAATACTTGTTAATTTTCCTAACTGTTGTCATGAGAGTAAGGGTAATTTTGAAGTCCTTTAAGACTCCAAGTTCACTCTAATTTTAGTTGGTAATTTTTTTTTTTTTGTTTAGTTGGTAATTTTTTTAAAAAATATATATTTTATTGATTTTTTTTTACAGAGAGGAAGGGAGAGAGAGAGCCAGAAACATCGATGAGAGAGAATCATCGATCAGCTGCCTCTTGCACACCCCCTACCGGGGATGTGCCCGCAACCAAGGTACATGCCCCCGACCGGAATCGAACCTGGGACCCTTCAGTCCGCAGACCAACGCTCTACCGCTGAGCCAAACCGGTTTCGGCTAGTTGGTAATTTTTGAGTGGTGATAAAGTTACTGCACCATGATGGTGGCAGAGTCAACAAGCATCTTAGAGGGCAGTGGGATTTGCTAAGAGGAGGGGAGTGGGGAAAGGGAGGAGAGGAGGGGGGAGGGAAAAGAGGGAAGGGAGAGAGGAGGGGAGGAGAGGAAAAAGAAAAGTGAGGGGGGAGGGCTCTGGGAGAGGGCCTCTGCATGGTGACTGTCTGATTTTCAGTGCAGTTGGTCTCGGAGCCTTCCTGCTCTGTATACTTCACAGGCGAATTCAGGGCTTTGGAAAACGGTTACCACATCATTGCGAGCGGGCACACTGGTGGTTCAAGAGGCTGGGGACGTGCTGGTTTTATTTTACTCGTTATGTTTCCCCCTTTGTTACCCCCGGACCCTTGTGTCTTTCCTGCAAAGGAAAAAGGCTAGTAAACGTAGAGGAAAACATACTGACTAATTACATAGATAATATCTAAGGAGTTAAACCTCTTCTGAGTGTTAAAATATCGCTATCTGGTACACATTTCTAAACAGCTGGATAAAGGAGTAAGTGTACATTTTGAGACAAATGGAAAACTTTATTATTATTTTTTTTTTGGTCCTTTGTGCAGGTTCTCCAAGGACACAAGACGTTCCTGAGCGAGGCGTACAACTGGGAGTTCCTGATCTGGGAGACGGCTCTGCTGCTGTTCCTGCTGCGCCTGGCCTCGCTGGGCTCCGAGACCAACAAGAAGTACAGCAACGTGTCAATACTGCTCACCGAGCAGGTGTGCTGCCCTGGCGGTGGCCCAGTGGTTAGAGACGGCACAGTGAGATTCGAGCAGAGATCCGGGGTGGCATTCAGGGTCTGTTACTGTCTAGCCACATGACCTCTTCACTGTGCGATTGTCTCCTTACACAATGAGGACAGTAGCTTCCCCACCTGCTCCAGGAATTGTTACAAGAATTAAGACCTAACGGATTGAAAATACTCTGTATACTATGAAGGTTTTTTTTACTGGTGGGACTGGAGCATACTGTTAATCTCATATTCTGCACCAAGTGTTAGATTTTAGGAGGATTTGTCATTTAAGTATCCTTTGTAATAAAAGGTAATATGCAGATAGACCGAATGGTGGAACAACCGGTCGTTATGACGCACACTGACCACCAGGGGGCAGGCACTCAATGCAGGAGCTGCCCCCGGGAGGTCAGTGCGCTCCCACAGGGGGAGCACTGCTCAGCCAGAAGCCGGGCTCACGGCTGGCGAGGGCAGCGGTGGTGGCAGGGAGAGGCCCCATCTCCATCACCACAGCGCTAAAGGCTAAGCCACCAGTCAGACACCCTCCGAGGGGTCCTGGCCTGCGAGAGGGCGCAGGCCGGGCTGAGGGGACCTCCCCCCCGGGCCGAGTGCACGAATTTCGTGTGTTGGGCCTCTAGTGTTTAATAAGCTTCTTGAATTTCTTCTGCATCAGCCATGCGATACATTCAGTGTTTGGAAAATACTTGCTCTTTAGTATGTGAGTAGCTACTGAGATTGAGAAACGCTTCTTATAAACACAGAGTAGTACTCACCATGTAAAATAATCGTATGCTTATCCATAAGTTTTAAGTGAAAGCGTTTGGTACCGTTAGTTCTTCGTTTTTACTTATTTTTTTGCCTTAGGATAGGATTATAATGGAGAATTCTTTCTATAAAGAAAAAAGTAGTGAAAGTTTTCATTGTTTTGATTTTTAAGTTGCTTTAGTACTTTTTTCTTCACCAGTTTCTCTTTGACAAACATGTCTGACTAGGGATGGGGGCTGGGACCCGTGACACATGTAGAAATAGCTGCTGGAATTTCAGAACGTATTTTACTTGGAAATAGGACCCTTAAAATCTGCCAGGTGCAATGCAGTATCTGGATCTTTTTCTATGACATTTACCATAATCTCTGTTCCTTCCCTTAGATTAATTTGTATCTTAAGATGGAGAAAAAGCCAGCCAAGAAGGAACAGCTTTGTCTGGTAAACAACGTGTTAAAGCTGTCCACCAAGCTGCTGAAGGTACGTAGGGCCCTGCCACACTCTCTCGCCGTTTAGATCGAGGCTCGCTTTACTTCGCAGAGACCCGGGGAGCGGCCGAGGCCAGGCCGGTGCCAGCTCGGCAGTTCCCGCCCCTGGCTGCGCAGGAAAGCGTGCCCATCAGAGTTCCACGATGGACGTCGTCACATCTCTTAAATGACGCTTAAAAAAACCAATCGCGTGCTGCCGGAATCCACCCGACAGCGTAGCTGAGGGAGAGGGGAGCCCCGGACACTGTTTTCCTCTCCCTCCGTCTGTCCGCCCCTCTGGCCCGCACCTCCTGCTCCAGCTCCCGGAGGCCAAGGAGAGGCGCCTGAGCAGCCGCCCCGCCTGAGCCCTCACACCGGCTGGCGACCCGGCCGCGGGGAAGCCACGGGCTCACTGGTTCTGTGTTTCCGCAGGAGCTGGACACGCCCTTTCGGCTCTACGGCCTGACCATGAACCCCTTAATCTTCAACATCACCCGCGTCGTCATCCTGTCCGCCGTCTCCGGCGTTATAAGCGACCTCCTGGGATTTAACATCCGGGTGAGTAGGACTGCCGTCTGTGGCCTCCGCCTTGTCTCAGAAACTGTAATAACTATCTTTGTTCTTCACTGTGTGTGTGTGTGTGTGTGTGTGTGTGTCTGGCAGAGAAATATCTTCTTTTCTTTTTTAATCCTCACCCAAGGATATTTTTCCTTTGATTTTTAGGGGGCGTGGACGGGAGGGTGGAGAGAAACATGGATGTGAGAGAGATACATCGATTGGTTGCCTACAACATGTGCCCTGACCCCGGCCGGGGATCAGGTTGTGCTCTTGACGGGGAACTGAGCCGTGACCCTTTGGTCCGGGAGCCGATGCTCTAACCATTGAGCAAACTGCCTGGGGCAAAATAAAGAAACTTCAAGAGTAAAGAAACGGACATTTGGATTGGTGGCCCACAGGCTGCTCAGCTTGGGTTTCCTCCTTTTACAAAAGCACAGAGTCCTGTGCTCTGGAATCGCACACAATATCGAGCTGGAATCTCACGTCGGATTCACAGCCGGGGCTGAGCCAGGGTCTGCGCTGGCCGAGGGCCCTGGACGGTCAGAATGAGTGAAACCCAGAGCCAGGAACCGTGGGTGCCGTTCTCCGTCCTGGACACGTTTCGTGTTTTTTCCCTGCGGTGGCCTGCGGTTGCGGCTGCCAGTTTTATTCTTCTTTTTAAAAAATATATTTTATTGATTTTTTACAGAGAGGAAGGGAGAGGGATAGACAGAAACATTGATGAGAGAGAAACGTCCATCAGCTGCCTCCTGCACACCCCCCACTGGGGATGTGCCCGCAACCAACGCACATGCCCTTGACCGGAATCGAACCTGGGACCCTTCAGTCCGCAGACCAATGCTCTATCGTATCCACTGAGCAACACTGGTTCTGGCACCAGTTTCCTCCTTGTCAAAGGGTTCTTGGCTCTTAGTCTGTAAGTGTTCTCCTAACCCCCACCTGTTTGTCCTGCTTACTGGTGGCCTTCCTTCCTCAGCTGTGGAAAATCAAATCCTAAGCTGGCCAGGCGCCGGCCTCGCTCCCCGTGCTGGCGACAGGGCCCATCGGGAAGGAGATGCCGGAGGAACCTGCGATGCCCCCACTCGCCTGCCCGAGGCCCTGCCGGGCCGGCCTCCGGGGGCTGGAGGAGCGGGGCCTTGCCAGCAGGGCTCCGGCAGCGGACGGAAGGAGGGGGACTGTGCGGGGACAGAGGACTCTCTGAGGCAGCACGTGTCCTGCAGGTTTCCTGCCGGGACGGTCATGTTTACTGGAGACGGGCTCTGGGTTACTGCTGGGGACCCGGAGTGGGACCCAAACACACTTTATTGGAAATGTGCACATTCAGGACTTCCTATAACGTGCACAGAAGCAGAGACTCCATTTCTCCAGCAGAGATCCAGCTATTTTAGGTTGAACTCAAATAAAAGGACTTTATTGGAAAAGGTCAGTTTCTAGGCTTCTTTTTGTTGTCATTGAAGGAAAAGCTAAACTATGGGTACGTTTTTAATTCGTTTATAAATCTGGGGTTAATTTGGTAGCGGTGTCATCCTTGGTGAGCGAGCCATGCGTGTGACATGCCACGGAGAGACTTACGTGTGTGCGTCCTCATGCACGCCCAGCACACGTGGTTTCCGTGTCCATCTGAGCCGACGCCTGCCCCAGGAGAAGGGAGCAGTGATCATGGTTTTTCTGCTGTGCGGTTCCCAGCACCCAGCCCGGTTCAGGGTCCTGCGTGTTCTCAGCCAATCGGAGCCTCTGGCGACTTAGATTCTCGGCGGTACCCCATGGGCACACAGGCCATGTGCACATGGTGGAAACTCTGGCCGCCTACATGTGGTTCTTAGTCATTGAGTTACCTGTTTTTTGTTTTAAAAAATATATATTTTATTGATTTTTTTACAGAGAGGGATAGAGTTAGAAAACATGGATGAGAGAGAAACATCCATCAGCTGCCTCCTGCACACCTCCTCCTGGGGATATGCCTGCAACCAAGGTACAAGCCCTTGACCGGAATCAAACCCAGGACCCTTCAGTCCACAGGCTGACGCTCTATCCACTGAGCCACACCGGTTAGGGCTCTGGGTCTGTTTCTGATCATCAGTTTATTTGGTTCATTAGATTCCATATCTGAGTGAGATCATGTGATACTTATCTTTCTCTGGCTTATTCCACTCAGTATAATGCTCTCCAGGTCCATCTATGCTGTTGCAAATGGTGAGTTATTTCCTTTCTATTACTGTATAGCATTGCATTGTGAAAATGTACCATGGTTGTTTTTTTATCCAATCATCTGCTGATGGGCACGCAGGCGATTTCCAAGTCTTCGCTACGGAGAATTGTGCCGCTGTGAACCTGGAATCCAGCAGGCTGCTGGGTGGTGTGCTGTCTTTGTTGTCCAGCAGGTGGCGGTATGGCACACCTTTATTTCCTTACCTGCGCTGTCCGGGCTGGTAGGTTCACAGAGGAATGGCCGCACTGGGCTACGGAAGGCTGTGTGTACCCTGGGGAGGCGGCTGTCCCCTCCGGGCCTCACTCACCTTGGCTGTGGGGCATGAGCACTGTGGTGGGGGATGTTTTTCTCACCTCGGTAAATGGAACAAAGTTTTCCTAGTTGTTCAAGCCGAAGGCTCTGGGTTTATTCCCGGCTCCTCTCCTCCTCCTCCTCCTCCTCCTCCTCCTCCTCCTCCTCCTCCTCCACGTCTAACCCACCGCCTCGCCCGTCAGGTCTACCCTCAGGCTGCAGGTGAGGCCTCCACTTCCCCCTGGGCCAGCCTGCCGGCCTCCCAGCCGGTTCTCCACAGCAACAGGAGTGGACGTAAGAACACGGGAACTCCAAAGCCTTCTCCTTCCTGGCTCCCCCGTGCGGCCGCCTAGCCACGCACTGTCACGCCTGCTCCCTTCCCAGGTCTCCTCCTCTTTCCCCTCCCCCCGCTCCTCCCCGCACCCCGTGACGGCTCCAGTGTGCTTTTCTAGGCCAGTGGCCTGCAAACTGCGGCTCTCGAGCCACCTGCGGCTCTTTGGCCCCTTGAGGGTGGCTCTTCCACAAAACACCACGGCCTGGGCGAGTCTATGTTGAAGAAGTGGCGTTAGGAGAAGTTTAAGTTTAAAAAATGTGGCTCTCAAAAGAAACGTCAATCGTTGTCCTGTTGATAGGTGGCTCTGTTGCCTAATGAGTTTGCCGACCGCAGTCCTAGGCCCTCCCCCGGATGCCTTCCGGCTGTGGGATCCTTCGCAGGGCCTGCTCTGGTGGCGCTAGTGAGGGCTCCTTTCCTGCTGCTCACAGGCTGACCGCCTGGTTTAGGTTCTGCCTCCCTGTTCAGCCTTCCACTCCAGGCAGGCGCTGTTTTTTCGAACACAGAACGGTGAGTACCCGCCCCCATCCCAGGTGCTCGATAAATGAAAACCAGACCCCGAGAAGCTGGCCTTCACGCAGTTGTTCCCCCTGCTGGGATGGGAGCGGGTCCCTCAGGTCGTGCTGACCCTCCGCGCCCCGTGTGGCTGCGGGGAAATAACTTTTCCCAGAACAACAGACGATAAAATTAAGTGAACCTCCTGTGGTTACGATGTGCAGCGATTCCTAGGATCGCGGGCTTTTGCTGTGATCCCCCACAGGGAGTGATGTCGCCTCCTCTTGACAGTTATGTCACGGAGAAATGAAGCCAAAATGTAAAGACAGAACCAGAATGGGCTATCACACCTTCAACTGGAATAGTAGGTTTGCCGGCCACGGATCTAAACGGATCACTTTGAAAAGCTGAATAACCAGATACTTGCCTAACGGGGTCTGGTTTTCTTGCCTTTCAGAGACACGCAGGAACGTTCTCGATCCCAGCTTCTCTCACACGGTGTAAGCGGATGGATTGCTCTCAGTCTTGGTTCATTGCATTTAGAGGTGAGTGGGCTTAAGCACTGTACAGTTAACCTCCCTTCCAGTTAGTGAAATGCGTTCTTGACATTTTTTAGATCTACACACTCACAATGGGCCGAATGGGTCTCACTTTCAAAGACAAAGCATGACTTGGGATTACAGAGAACTCATTTGAGGACTCAGACCACTCATTAGTTCTTGATTTTTTTAATATCTATATAAAAAATAACGAGCGATTTACAGGTCTCTCTCTCTAATCAGAACCTCCGGTGTATATATAAAGGGACTGTACAATATATAAACATTTACAACCAGCACATCCGTATCTCGCTTAGCATTCCGAGGCCACGTTGCTAAGTCAGGGTATGATCAATACAGCGACAGGTTACTTGGGAGAAAAGAGCCACATCAGACTGACGACATGTGACATCCGAGTCACGTCACAGTTGACAGTAAAAATAGGATTTTTCTCACTAATTGTGGGCTGGAGGGAAAATAGTTTCTGTGGCGCTAACTCTGCGCTGTCCGGCCAGGACAGGAGGCGGGACAGGAGGCGGGACCCGTCCCGGGAGAGAGTTTCACAGTCGGACGCCGAGAGGGAGGGGCCGGACACAACAAGGAGAGGAACCCAGTGACAGACGGTGTTCAGACACCCCGGCAGGGCTGGATTCTGAGGAGTTCCTCTAGTGCTAGCTGCTACTGAATGCTGCTTCAGGGCGGGAAAGCACGCTGCTGGTGCTTAGACACTGCCGCCACCGCCCACCCCCACCCTTCACTGGACCGAGGGTCCCACAGGCCGAGCGAGGTCTGGGCTCCCGTCTGGCCTTTATGGAGCCAGTGAGCGGGGATGCGGGAGGCCGGCCCGCCTGTCCCCTGTCCTCGCCTGCGAGGGGCCGGGGCCTGGCAGCTTCCGGGAGACCGCCTGCGGGACCGAGTCCCTCACCCAGTCTGAGTCTTGTTGTGACTCTGCAAACAGGGACTGACCACCCCTGACTCAGCGGGTACAACCCAAAGAGCCTGAAATGGAAACCTGGTCACCGGGAGCACAGGGCATCCCTGCAGGAGGGCCGGGTCCTGGGGCCGGGTGTGTGTGTGTGTGTGTGTGTGTGTGTGTGTGTGTATGGGTGTGTGTGTGTGAGTGTGTGTGCGTGTGTGTGTGTGTAGGCGTGTGTATGTGTGAGTGTGTGTGTGTGTGTGTGTGTGAGAGTGTGTGAGTGTGTGTGTGTAGGCGTGTGTATGTGTGAGTGTGTGTGTGTGTGTGAGTGCGGGATGATGCCCCTGGCTCGGGGCTTCCTCCTCGGGGACACGCTGTCGGAGGTGACACCTTCCCGGGGGAGTTAAGACAGAATCCGTGCGGCTCGGGACCTGCCTGCCTGTTTTCTCCCAGCAGGACGGTGGGCTGTGTTTGTGAACGGGGCCCGTCTGCGGCCAGGAGCAGTGCCCTCTCCTGCAGGGACACGGATGTTCTCTGTAAACATGCAACATGCTATGGAGAACGTGACTCCCAGCCAGACCCACGTCACGGCCGAGGCAATACTGAGCGAGGAGGCGGCGGCGGAGGAGGAGGAGGAGGAGGAGGAGGGGGAAGAGGAGGAGGAGGAGGAGGCGGCGGAGGCGGAGGAGGAGGGAGGAGGAGGAGGAGGAGGGAGGAGGAGGAGGAGGGAGGAGGAGGAGGAGGGGGGAGGAGGAGGAGGGGGGGAGGAGGAGGAGGGAGGAGGAGGAGGAGGGAGGGAGGAGGAGGAGGGAGGAGGAGGAGGAGGAGGAGGAGGAGGGGGGGGAGGAGGAGGAGGAGGGGGGAGGAGGAGGAGGGAGGAGGAGGAGGAGGGAGGAGGAGGGGGGGGGAGGAGGAGGGGGGGGGAGGAGGAGGAGGGAGGAGGAGGAGGAGGGAGGAGGAGGAGGGGGAGGGGGAGGAGGAGGGAGGAGGAGGAGGAGGGAGGAGGAGGAGGGGGAGGGGGAGGAGGAGGGAGGAGGAGGAGGAGGAGGAGGAGGAGGAGGAGAAGAAGGCGGCGGAGGAGGAGGAGGAGGAGGAGGAGGAGGCGGCGGCGGAGGCGGGGGGAGGCGGCCGAGGACTTGGCACAGACCTGCCGTGCGCTGTGACCACACTAACGGTCACGCACGCCGTCTGTGCCGCCGCACGAGGCAGCCGCCCGGGGCCCTTCACCGCCCGGGCAGCTGGAGAAGCCAGTGTGCGCGGGTGCGAGCGTGTCTGACAGGAGGACTTTGGGGGGACGCTCACAGCCGCCCCGCCGCGCCCGAGGCTCTGCCGGCCCCCGGCACCTTCCAGGGCCCCGGCGTGATGGGCGCCCGCCGGCCGGGGGAGCCCCGGGCGCCGTCCGCCTCCTTCCCGCCGGCGTCCTCGGCGCCCGGCCCCGGCGCCCTCTCCGCCGCCTCCCCCGGGGGCCCGCGGCCCTTTCCGCTCTCCGCGCCGGCCCCGGCGGACGGCAGCGGCTGCTCCTCCGGGGAGCGCGGCCGGCCCTTCCCGGGCTGGCTCTGCCTCGGGCCGCTGTCCCGGGCCGCGGCCCCCTCCGTCCGGGGCGGCTTCCGGGGGCTGGCGGAGCGCTCCCGGGGCCG